ATATATTTTACATGCTCCCTTTTCAGCAAGAGAGCTCAGCAGATTAAGAGCCTGCTTAGGCAGTCACAAGGACTGACATTTGATCCCCAGCACCACATGCTGTGCCAGCCCCACCCTCAGGTGTGCTGAGCTGTCACAGAGTTCAGGTGTGGCAGTGTATTCCTGTAAGACCAGCTATGTAGCTATACCAAATACATTTTAAAAAGAAAAAAAATATTTCATATATGTATTTTTTCTTTCTTTTTAAAATTAATTTGCTATCCTTAATGGCTATTGGGATAACTCTGAGTTGTATCCTACACTGTCCTCCAGAGTACCCCAACTGCACTGAACTGAAATTGCCCTGATATAATACTTTATTATATAAAAAAAAAGGAACAGGAATGAGGCACAGGTAGTACTCAACAAAGTGGAAATAAATGCCTGAGGTGACCCATGTAGTGGACAGAGCTAGAAGGACTCTACAACATCACGGCAGTTCTAAGCTGTTAAAATAGCCTCAGTTCTCCTGCAAAATTAGCTATGGCCACTTACATGAATAACTATACAATGTGGAAAGATATTTTAAGGATTTACCAATGATACCTGGCAAATCAAGGGAACATGATGATCCAGGCATGAGAATGGGAGTCCACAGTGAGTAGGAAACAAGTAGGGTTCTGGCCAAAGGCCAGATCATAATGAGCTCATTTAGCTCAAGCACTCATCCAGTGTGAACTCCAGTGCTCCTGGGTGAATAATTCGAACTGAAATAGTTAGCAGTTGATGCAACCAAGCAGAAAGGGGTAGGACAATCCTAGCCTCTTCTGGGATTCCAAACACACATGTGTTGGACCACTTGAGATTGTCTAGCTTTTTCAATTTTTTTTTCCTTTGGCTAAGGAAATCAAACTCAGGACCTTGCACTTGCCAGGCAGGCACTTAATGCTGCTGAGCTGTTCCCCCAGCCTGATACTGTCTATAGTTGTTCTTTGTTTCAGGCCTCTTTTCCCTGGGGTTCTCACTAAGTCTGTTCCACCTTTTTTTCACTGTGCTTCAGGTGAAGCACTTCCTATTTTCCTGGCTTCATGTTCACTGATTTTTTGTTGGCAATGTCCAATGTGCCAATACCAATTAATGAATTTTTCATAGATCATTTTATGCTCCCCAGCTCTAGAATCTCCATTTGGTTCTTCATTTATAGTTTCATTTTGTTTTTGAAATTTCCCATCTGTTTGCTCATTATATTCATCATTTTCTGCAAACTGTAAGCATTTCATATTAACTTTTAAAGTCCCTGTCTCGTAACTCTATTAATTCTGTCATCTCTGATTCTGTTACTACAGAGTCTGCCAAAAATGTATATATAAGCAAAAAAACCCTGCATAGATATTTTAATACTAAATTATGGAAACATCATGAGATTAATACAAGTTACCTTTTGCTTCTACAACTACAAGAGGGGCTCCGAGAGGTGGCCATTAGCTTCCAAACATTTAAGGCAAATATACAGATATAGATATATGTGTATAGATATTTACTTATCTATTTATACTGAACATATATACTCATCAAAATTGTATTACCTTTTTTAAAGATATTATTACCACATATTAATATACTTACACATCAGCTTTATCCTTTCAAAATTAACATTGAAGATTTGGGGTGGATCTAAAGTAGCTCTTCTCCTTGGATGGGATTAGTCTTCCTGTTATTGTGTGCTTTATTAAAGGTCCTGCTTGAATGTAGAGCATATTCAGTGAGGTTCCTATTACATGAAGTCAGAACTCCAATGTCTTCTCCTACATCTCTCAGCATTGTACAATCCCTAGAATCTGATCTGCTCTGCTCCAAGGGACTGTTCTCTCATTCTATGCTTCCACAAGTTAGCTACTTAGGAAAAGATAAAAGTACAGATAATTCTGCAGTTCTTTTTCATTCACATTCTTCTTTTTGCATAGACTATCCTATAGTCTTCAAATTAGACCTCTGCTCCTCAGTTCAGCAAGACCACTGTTCTCAGGGTTACATCTTGCCACACTATAGTCAGAAAAATGCCTTCAGGAAGAAATTTGGGGCTTTCTTGTTGTTCGCCTTGTATGTTTCTCTTCTCTTAAGCACCACAATCCCTGGTTTGCCCATTTCATCACATCTTGAAAAGAGCTGCCTCACTGAATATGCTCTACATTCAAGCAAGACCTTTTATGCTGTGTCCAGTTGTTACTCCTTTCAGTTGCAGAGCTGTCTAGAACCAGGTGAAGGACTACACCCACACCAGCTTTTCTGGCATGAACTAAACAGAATCTTCTAATCATTTCCAAAATAGTTTTATTTTTCCATTAAAATATAAAAGTCTTCATTTTGTACCATAGATATTTTCAAAAAACATTCACAAAAGCCATTGTTTAAGAAATATCATTAATGATTTAGTCAATGACAGCAATTAAACTTAAAGTAGTTACAATGCATATATAATTAATGTATATTAACTATGCTCAGAAAAATAAGATCTAGCGATAAATAAGAAAAATTTTGGTAGTATGCATAATTCTACCCTATATTCATCATAATATGTTCAGCAAGTTTGTATATTGTTATATACCATATAGAACCTTAAATGTTACACACTAATAAACATATCCAGGTACATAATTGGACAACTGAATTTTGAAGGAAAATATCGGTAACACAATTGTCTATTATTTACTGGCATCTAACTTATTCACAAGATTTCAGTCAACTAGCCTCTGTCCAAAGAATTAGCATCACAGAATACTTCTGGAATACTGTAAGGAAACAACATTAGATAAACTGTTTAATCAGTTTGTGACTGTATGTCTGTTTTATATGTTCTCAGGGGCCTTCCCCTTAGCTCAGTTCTTTAAGTGGCTGCTTCAACAAAGCAGTCAGGCTCAGGTTGCTGTGGTTCCATCCCCACAACTCAATCCAGCCAAACCTGCCCTGAAGGCATTCAGAGCCAAAAAAAATCCTTCTGGTTTATATGTTCTCTAAGCAGTTCATGATCTGTTTATAACTTCTACATTTGGTATTGACAACTCTGAAAATAAGCGCATTCATAATAAAATACTTATGTGAGCAGAAATGCTTTAAAAAAGTAATGACCAAAGTAGCTGAGAATTTCACAGAAAAAAATAAATAAATAAGGTCAATTTTTAAAGGGTTACCATAAAAGGAATTATGGAGATACAATTACAGTATCTAGGTAAAATATGACAGAGAACTCAAATCCTAAGTCAACCAGGCTTCTTGTGGGGAACTCTACTGTATAACTAATTTATTATGTATAGTTACTAGAAAAAGGGTAACTATGACTATCTTGATAACTACCTTTATTGTGTGATTCTGATAACATCCCTGATGTTTTTTTAGTTCCTTAAAAAATACCTACTAGTGATTCATCCAGAGACTCAAATAAAGTGATAAAATTAAACTGGTAATTAAATGAATGAATAATGTCTATCTGAATATATACCAAGTACAGTTGTATCAGCAGGTGATTTTATTTTTTAACAAGGGCTCCTAAGATAATAAAATAAGAAAAAGTGGATTTTATAAGAAATAAGTTATAAAATACTCCTGAATATATTTGGATATTTCATAAATCTGATATATTTTGAAATATAATATCTGGCGTCTGCTGTATTGGATGGCACAGATAAAATTTATGTCATCATAGCAATTTCTACTACACAGCACTGCCCTAAAGCAAGCAAATGTGCATTTTAGTACAGGACTGTTTACAACCCATTTCTTATTTCTTGTGGGGAAGGAGGGTGAAGAAAGAGTATAAGTACATCTCAATAATGTCCTCAAAATAATTTCTTAAAGTTTATTATAATTTTAAGTTCTTCTAGGATATGCTTCCCTTTGAAAGACATAGCTGAACTCGGCTGTGTGCGCTTACACTTTGGCAAGCAGGCCATGCTTGCTTCTGATTTGCCAACTCGGTCTAGGAAGGTCCTTCATCCAGAAGCATCCTGGTGACCTCACTCTCTCATTGTTTTCTCTTACTTATACTTCAGAATTCAATTTTTCTGAAAATAGGTCCTTGAGCCTGCTCATACTCGTGTCTGATAGAGTTGACTGCCTTCTTGGTAACAGCAAAAAAGCTACATACTCTGTTCTATTTGTGTTTAGCTCCTCCCTATCACACACCCCAGTAGTGTAGGAGTCCTCCTAAGGTACAAACCTGTACATCCTTGTGTTTCAAATATATAGCACAGCATTGGCCATATACTAAATAGTCAATAAATGTTAAATACATAACTTTCTCTAAAAATATCTGTTGTAAATTACTTAACTCTAATTAAATAACTCCTGAATAAGTATACTAACAAATACAAGCAGCTTACTCTTTCAGGTCCTTAATTAATTTGGTTTTTTCTTGGATGACTCGCTTATGATGCATTCGATGAAAATCACGTTCTTTTTGAGTTTTCAGCAGATCTTCTCTGGCCTTGCTGAAAAATTAACAATAACAATAACTTTAAAGTGGCTAATAATAGCCACTTTCTGAAAAAAATATTTAGTCTTAAGTTCAGATTTAATATTGAGCAATTAAAGCCTTGAAAGGTAAACATCCACTGTAAATCTCAGGAAAAATAAGATCCAAACTAATTTGTATAAAGTCATAATGTGTCAGTGGGTGTGCATAAAATGACAAAGTCGGTAATTTCAAAAATATGATCCATTCACATTTTTTATTTAACTAAACTAAAATTAAAAATATGCTGCCACAATAAACCAAGACAAAACCCTTTTACTCTTGAAGAGAATCTGTTTTGCTCACAAATTTGAAATCTATAGTTCAAAATAGCTACAAATAAATGTAAAGATTTTACAGAACTTAACTTTGAACTTTTTTGGTTAGAATATTGAAAATGAATACATATAATTCTGATAATGGGAAAAAGAAAGTGCATACATTCTAGAAAACCAAAATTTCTTTCTGTTAATTTGTATGAGGAAAATATACCACTAATTGATTAGATTACTAAAACTAATTGATACCTTATTAAGAAAGGTCTTCAGTATTAGTGTTAGAATATAGAAGAAGTTCAAATAGACCTGTCTTCTGCAAAGTCTTGGTAAACAGCTAGCAAAAGCACTCTTTTTCACTAAGTCCAAGTCCTAAGTGAAAAATTAAGGGAAATGTTTTATTCAACCCACATAATGTTTTAATATAATGCTGTAAAAAATAATTTATAATGAAAAATAATTCTCCAGAGTCTTGGATAACTGACAAGTGCTATCACATTAAGCCTCTCACATTCTGAAAAATGAACTGAATCAGAACACTGACATCTCATATTAGGATCAAAATAGAAGAAATTTGCTTCTTTGTGTCATATCAGAATTCAGATTTGCAGAAAATAAATGCACAGGAATAGGTTTCTGCTGTGAGCTAGGTCAAAGAAATCCATGAGGAACAGTAATTGCAATGCAGCCGAAGTAGTTCAGGGAAGAAGGCTCAGCTTGTGGACCCCAGGTGGACACAAGTTGATCACTGTAACTTCTTCTTATACCTCAGCTTATAGGTTATGCGGCAGGAAAAACTTAGATCCACCCTTCCAAGTTTCTTCCTTTGTCCTTTCCCTTTTTTTGGATGATCTACACTGTTGTTTATTTTACTGACAAATTTTTAGCTTTTAACCTACATAAATAATAATTCCCAATGACACAATCCTCTTGGCCTACTCTCTGCTTCTAATCAAATTGATTTTCATGTCAGCAATCTAGGCACAAGAAATCGCTGATTCAAGTATTTTTTAAAAAAAAAAAATCTGTGGAATATAGCAACGATAAAGATTTTCCAGGTTTTTTTCTAACAAATCATGAATTTGAAAAGTGACAGATATCACAGGTAAGCTAGGGCCTATAGTAAACTTCTTACACTTCCTAATTTTCTTTACATTTCTCAAAAACTTAAGAATTAACATAACTTTTTATTTTCCATTTTACTCCCACACAAAAAAAAAAAATGAAAATGCTAATTTCTGTAGGGAACTATTCGTAATAATGTTACATAGCCTGCTGTATATCCATGGCCTGCAGTGATCCTGATGTAAACAGTATCAAGATTTCCATGTTATGCATTTAGCTTCTCATCTGTGCATACAATTTTCTGAAAGAAAATAATTAAACTAAGCATGGTGTTGCAATCCTGCAATCCCAGCGCCCTGGGAGGCTCAAGCAAGAAAATTGCAAATTTGAGCTCAGCCTGGGAAATTCAGTGACTTAATGGGATCCTGTCTCAATATAAAAAAAGCTGTGTACCCTTGTGTATGTCAGGGTGGGGGAGTAACTCAGGGTAAAGTCCCTAGGTACAACATCCTTGGCTCAAAAAAGAAAAAGAAATAAAGAAGGAGAGAGGGAATGAGAGGGAAATAGACAAAGATAACTTCTTCAAAAGCCTACCATTCTTATTTCACTATTTTTCAGCTGTTAGTAATTTAACAAGTCTTTTGAAATAATATTAATGGCAAAACAATGACCAATTAAATCAAAAGCCACTTACTCATGTTATTATTGATTTAAATCCCAGTTAACTGTGTCTCAACTATTGGCCCAAGAATATCTTTAAAGTCAATTAGAGTGGATTAATCAATACTATTGGTTATGGTCTATGTCTGGATAACCCTGAAAGCCTTAAACAGTCATAAGGGGTTGGGCTTTTCACAGGCAGCTGAGTCTAAACTTTGGGATATTTCTTTGTCTAATGCTGGTACTGGAGGTGTGAGTACTGTGCCCTGCACTGGGCAGCTGAGCTGGAGATCACTCATACATGTGGGGCTAAAGCAGGGCCAGGCTGAGAATGGGGAGTAGCCAAGGTGAGAAAGATAAATGAATTGTTGGGCAGGTCCTTTCTCTCATTAGGAGTGGAGTTTCACATGTTATTAACCTCTTGCTGACTGTATAAATAAATGCACTGCAGTTGTTGAGCAGCTTTTTTTCTCCTATCAGGAGAGAGGGCTTCCCCTGACCTCAGCTTTCTGTATTCTCACTTATCTTCATTTCTTCATCTGTTATGGTCCTTGCCCTGGGAATTTCAAGAGCTACACTGTAGGAGGCAATAACCACCCTAGGACAGGTATCCTGCACACAATATAAGGGATAGGGAGAAAGCTTGCTTTCCCCTTTGCTCTTGTTGCTTCCACTGTCTTTCACCACCACAACTGGTTGCTCCTCTGACATGCCACCCAGCCTTGGTTCCAGTTGATTATGCACTGAAACCTCACAAACCATGAGCTAAATAAACCTCTTCTCCCTTAACATGTGGGTATGGGGCACTTTGTCTGAGCAACAGGAGAAAACTAAGACACTATTATTTGATACTGACACTCTTTTGTTTATATTTTTTAAAGCCAATGAATCTAATTAAGTACACAATGAGTTGCTATCTCTCTACTTAATACTAGACATTCATTTCCAAAATAATATTGAAAATGAGATTAGATAAAGACCCAAAGATTTTATTATTTTTTATTTGATATTATACTGCTTCTGGCCAAGGAATATTTACTGTAAAAATAAAATCAGTGGCAATTTTCCTTCAAGTATGCAGTTTTTGGTCAAGTCTAATACCATTAATTTTATTGAGATTCACTACGAAAAGTCTCATATATCTGACAACTCTTTTGAGATTAGATCATTCCAAATTCTTCTGTTATTTGCATAATTTTGCCAAGCCAAACTGCTAATTTTTACCTTTCATCATCATTGATAATTAAAAACCTAATTTAATTATTAGGATTAAAATTTAAAGATTTCTGCTTCTAATTATGATGTAGAAATCTGCAGACAACATTGTCTCTAACAACACAAAAAGCCACATAGATTAAAAATTGAGTTTTCCTTGAAACTGTGAAAGAGCTTAACAACAAGTCAAATAACATGAAATCAAAAGAACACCATGACATTTTGATTAAAGATAAGAATACAAACAATAGCCAAGTAGAGGAGGAAGAACATCAGAAATCAGCTAAAATTTTAAGCACTCAATAACATCAAGTGAGGATTAGTACAGTGGATTGAAATAACTAGGGATTTTAAATGCAGTTACAAGGCTATCCCAGGTATTCAGGAGAAAGATGGGGGCTGGCCAAGAGACCAGCAAAAGATTCATAACAGTGATACACTATTGGAGACAGTTCCAGTGGTAGTGATAGAAATGGACCCAAAGAAAGACTTACTTCATAGAACCTAAGAAAAGGTCAAAAAACAAAGCAAAGGCAAAGGCACTTTTCATGTTAAAAAAGACAAAAGAAAAACTTCAACCACTGATGGAAAAGGAACCACTTGATCTCAAACTTTTTCACAACAAGCAGTGGTTTCTGACTCCTGGGGTGGACATAAGAAATTCCCAGCAGATCAACTACAGATAGAATGGAGTTTGATGAAAATACTAAAGAGGGATGAATGCTAAAATATGCTGAACAATGCTAACCCTCAAGACAAAGCACACAGAAGCCTTTATCAAAGTGAAGAATGACTTAGAAAGTCTCATTAATGAGCACTGGATGTCAGAATAGATGATCTATATCTCAACCCGATAAAAGTCATGTATGAGAAACCAACAGCCAACATCATAATAAATGGGAAAAATTTAAGGCCTTCACTTTAAAATCAGGAACAAGTGCTGGCCAAATATCTCAGTGGATTAAAGCACCTGCAAGCAGGGGGATCAATCCCCAGGCCTGACCTGCTGGTCCGACCACAGAGCACACTGAGATGGCAATTAAGACTGGGTATGGTGGTGCACATCTGTAATCCCAGCTCTTGGGGAAGCTATAAACAGGGAGATCACGAGTCCAATCGAGTAGTGAGACCCTGAACACCCTGTAGACCCCTCCCTAAAAATACAATAAAATAAAATCAGGAACAAGACAAGGATGCTGTCTCCAGTACTATTCAATATAATTGTGGAAACATTAACCAGCACAATTAAACAAGAGAAATAAAAGGAATAAGTATTGTAAAAAAAAGTAATGAAATTATTTGCAAATCACATCATACTCTAAATAGACAACCCCAAAAACTCTAGCAAGAATCTTGTACATTTAATCACCAAATTCAGTAACATAGCAGAATACAATGTCAACACTCAAAAATCAGTAGAATTTTTATACACAAAGAATGAAAACACTGAAAGAGAAATTAGGGAAACCTCACATTTCACAATAACATCCATGAAAATGACATACTTAGGAATCAATCTCACAAAGGAAGTTAAAGATTTATACAGTAAAAATTACAGTATTCTTAAAAAAGAGATATAAGAGGATTTGAAAAAATGAAAAGATATTCCACGCTCCTGTATAGGAAGAAATAATATTGTGAAAATAGCCACACTTTCAAAACTGTTATACAGATTCAATGCAATCCTGATTAAAATAACAACAGTATACCTCTCAGAGCTAGAGAAAAATTTCCTCAAATTCATTTGAAAGTAGAAAGGAGC